TGGGATTGCAAGAATGCAAGGAGCAGGCAGGCAGCGAAGTATAATGGATACTATAACTGTAGGACGGTGCCGGAATGTGGGAAGCACCCACTTGGAATTCATTTGGAAAAAGCGAGCTGACACAGCATCACAGGGACCAAGGTGCTGGGGAAACTGAGCCTCGGAAAGGCTCGTGGAGACTCTGAAATTCCAAAAAAGAACATCCACATGTTCGATAGAGTTGACCTGCTCAGGAGTCCTGGGCGCACTGCCTGCTCTTGTGCGCTTTGCCCGTTCTTGGACCCAGCGACGTGCGACGGTGGATGTTGCCACCTGTCTACACTCTTCCAAGCTTTTGCATAACTGCAGATAGGCAAGATGAGATACCAAGCGAAAAGATGGAAAAGCAGCAATAGAAAGAGAGAGAGAGAGAGAGAGCAAGGCAGCACGGCAAAACCATCATGCCAAGAATTGGACTGCTAGAATTGTTGAGTCAAGTGGCTAAAGGGGATGCCAAGGTACGGGATCAACCCTTGATCTGGGTGGTGGATGGCCTGTGTGAGCAACAGCATGTCCAGCAATTGAAAGAGATTTTGGATCAGCAGGATGTCAGCTTCGTGAGGAAGACAGCTGCTTGACACGAGCAGCTTTCCTTTTTTGATGTTCCCTCGCCGGCATGTTTTGGTCACAAGACCCAGCTTGTTAAAGCCCTCAGGATGCATACGTTGACGACATGTTCGACGAGCGCAGAGAGTTGCAAGAGGATGGGGCAAACTGATCCGACGTGCTGTCAGCTGTCAACTTCCAAAGTCTCATCCGGTCGGCAAAGATGGACATCAACCTGACTCTGACCTGACAGGTTTCTTCGATTGTTCAACCTGGCAGGTTCCCTCAACTGCTCGGTCACTGAAGGTAGGTATCCCAGGTATGCCTTCAGGAGATGATCGTTTGGGTATGTTTGGGTCATGATTTGGCTGAAACTGTTCTTGTACATTGTACTCTGCGGATCTCTGTCGGAGCACGTTGATGTAAAACTGCAGTGACCAGGATGCTCAGATGCTCGTGTCGATGATGAGCAGCGGTGCTTTGCAAATGGCGCCCAGCAAGTGCCTTTCCCTCTGATTTCAGTGAGCCATGTTGTCCATGACACCTTCTCTCGGAGATGTGGGCTCACCATGGTTTACTTAGTAGTTTACTTGGTTTGCCTATCAGCAGGTTATAATTTACGCTTGCCGGGTGTGGAATCACACTCAGGAAATCTTGGAGTGTCTGCGGTTGTGACATCAAGTTACTGTAGCATTGTTCTTTTCTTTGGATGTGATCAAAGTACTCATGTCAACTTGAAATTTGTCCAATGAATCCGACATTTGAGCAATGTTTGCTCCCTTGAGCAGTGCAGTGTAGGACTCAAACGAGCTCCCCAGGTACCAGAGTGATCCCTTGCGCTCCTTGCTGTGGTTGGCCATGCAGCGGCCAGAGTTGCTTCAGACAAGTGCTTGGGACATAGGGCAACTGTCCACCACCCGACGTGCCTGGTGCGCACAGTGGAATCCTGTGCTTCGGCTGAATGACATATTGGGAACAGGAGACTGGCAGGAGTATTTCTTTGCTAGGACTGCCAAGGTCTATCATACTATCGTGATGCTTTCTGGTTTCAACTTCAACAGCTGCTGCCTGCGAGCTCTGCAAAATTGAGGAGGATTTGGCTCGCAGTGGCTTTCGGAAGAGTGCCTTCCGATGCAAAGTGCCAGAGGAAATGCTGAGTCATTTAGCGCCCTTGGTAGTGGATGTCCTTGGTCCACTCGGCTGGTTTAGTTGTGGCATGTTGCGGCTGCTTGCTTCTGCCATTGGCATTTGACGATGGCAGCTTTTCCGCCAGGTGCTCCAGTTCAGGGCTTGCCAGGGACAGACTCAGCGCGGGGCGCAGTGGCACCTTCGTGGGCTCTTCGTGATACCACGGTCACTCGGACCGACCTCACAATTTCCGTGGCTCATTCGGTGCCTTCTTCCACGTGTGGTGATATTGCGCCGGTTGGTCAAAGAGAAAACAGCCAATTTCCCAAGTTTTAGAGGAACCAGAGCTTCGAAGTTTCCCTCATTCTCTGAGCTCAGTAGGGCCTTCAGAGGCCTTGGGGCTTGGAGACGAGGCGAAATGCCATTTCACACAGCGGGAAAGTGATTGAAACGAGAGCACTGCTGAGAGTATCAAACAAGAGCACTGAGGTTGTGAGGTATCAGCAAGATGAGTCGCAGGTGCCGCATATTGACACAAGTGCCCCAGGCATGCTTTGCAAGTGAAGGGATCCAATGCCTCTCGCAGCTCAGAATCCGGACACGCTGTGATTGCGGTTTCCTTAGAGACGCCATGTTGACGCTTGGCCAGGTGATGTCACTATGCTTCTCTATTTGAGCGATGATGGAGGCCATACTTGCTTCCCAAATCTGGGATGCAGCAACTTGGAGTGGCAGGTATGCCATGCATCCCAAATGGATCCACATATCAAACATATCTGATTATATAAATTTTAAACTTAAATATTATCCTATGAATATTATCCTATGAGTTTTGAAACCGATCCAGCATGATATGTGGCAGCACCTATGAGTTGGCAATAGTCAGATCCAATCTTCAGATCTCTCAGCTTAACTCAGTGGCCTCGTCAAGCTTGCGAAACTTTGGCGGCCTGAAAGAAAGTAATGATAATGTCGAACTGTCAGTTTGTAGCTCCTTGAGCTCTGTTGTGCACCTAAGATGTTCCCTTATCATTGCGTGTGCCATGTAGAGCCATGTCAGGTCTACATGGAGCGCACAAATGCAAGAAACGCAACGCCATGCTTTTTTGGGTCGACGCTGCTCTATTGTGGCAGCCTAATGAACTGATGCCAAGCAGTGCTGCTGCTACGCTGTGTAGGTATTCCTCCCCGTGAGGGTCGCATCCTGGTTTTTTGCAGCACCAGTCCCTCAAACAGGCGCTTTCTCTGCAAAGAAGTGCAGCATGCATTTTTAGAGGAATTTTTGGGAGTGTCTATATAACAAGAATTCTGGAACAAGCCTCGGCATGTTCATATTCACATTAGCTCATGCTTTGCATTCCAGGCGCTTTGGTGGATTCGCTGGCTCTGCGTATGGGGAGCCACTAGATGCCACCATGCAGTGGACTTACTTTTACCGCGGTTTTCCATTGACAATTCCAGAGCAGGGTTCGAAGTACTGACGCAACGAAAAACCGCCCGCGATGCTCAGAAAGAGGGTTGAATTCGAGCATATCTTTTATGTGAATGCAGCGGTGAGTGTTTCCGCATCTCTCTTGCTGTATCCTCTGATGCTTGATAGACGGGAGCCAGACAGATTCCAGAGCTCTAGGCACTATGGCGGCCTCATGGAGAAATGCAATGGAGAGCTCCTCGGATCCATTTATGGTCACGTGAAGCAATGAAACGATTTGGTGGGACGAATCCACCGGAGAGGAAATTGATTGTCCAGCTGCTCTTCGCGGCTGAAGATTCCAGCTTGCCGCTTGATGGTAGCTGGTCTCCTGCTTTGCGTGGCGCCAAAGTGCGCGAGGCTGGCAGGACGCAGAATATGGAGGCACAGCTTGAACACTCTTTGCAGGGGAAGGACAAGCAAACAGGCAAACATGTACTGCCCTCTGTGCCTTTTGGTAAATGGGGCCGGCGACACACTATAAACAAGTGTTCCTGCCGCGACCAGGCAAGGTCAATGACCATTCCTTCAGTAGCGCGGCGGCGTCAAAGCTTAGTGTTCAGCAACCGGCGCTGTGCCAGTGGCTGCAAGGCATCAGATCATTCCTCAGCATTGCTCGATCCGTAGCCACTGCCTGGACATGTCTGGACAGGGGCTGGCCCTGGATTTGGAAGTGCCGGGAGCAACGAAAGTATGCGTCCACTGCTGGCAGCATCCTGGCTGAAAGACAGTTGAATTTTGAAACTATCCGCTTGCATGAATATGCAAGAAGACGCATATATACGAGTATTGACTCTGGACATTTAACAAATCTGACTTGGTTCCACTCAGGCGACGCTTGCAAGAAGCCCGAAAAGGGCTCGATGGAGTGGCAAAATGGAGAAAATAAGATGGGGATTGCATGCCGGACATAATTGGAGCAAAGGCCATACATTGCCCACACACTCATGGTCTGCTCTCCCCCTGCGCAGGTGAGTACCGGCCGGCGTGGTGAACTGCCGGAGTGCCTTTGCACGGCTGGCTTTGTGACACTCGCAGATGGCAAACACTCGGCCTTGTACCCAAGATGAGACAGAAACGCATGTAGATGGACTCGGCTCTTTGGAGGGAGCTTTGGCAAATGCATGTAAAAGCATCAAGTTTTGCCGGAGTCCCGTCACATCACATTTTCTAAAGCGAGTCATCACCGCTTGTGGGTGGTGCATGTAATTACCCTTGTCTTCATCTCTATCTCCAACCACTTGCAAGTCCGCGAGCAGTTGTTGGCAAGACATGCTTTTTAAGGTGTGCCAGAAGCTGGATGCTTAGCCTTTGCAAGCCTGCAAGCCGTATTTTTACTCCATGTCCTTTGTCAAGAGCTTGCAGACGAGGGAGGGAGCCACAAGAGTTTTTCATGACACAATTGACTATGCAACCCGTTTTCGCCGTGCCTGCCCTGGCTCAAGATGCCTGGGGCCTAGGGCCCAGGATGGCAAAATGAAGTAGTTGCCATTATAGCATTTCTATTTGTTAAGTTTCCAGAACATCTTGGAACCGAATGGTTTGTGCAAGTGCTTCTTCAAGGAAGCTCCCCTCAGGCGGGGAGAGCTTCCTTGAAGAAGCGTGAGCTATCCTGCGTCCAGTCAGTTTACTAGTAATGTGTTTACTCCTTAATTAAGTGGGTGGGTAGGCGCCTGCTTAATTAAGTAAGGAGGTCAAAAACAAGAGGAATAAAAGAAACACAGGGATCGCTGTCACCTGGTTTTACCACAACTTTTCTGCACCACCCAGATCAACGTCATTGGTCCCATAACTTGGAACACTCGTGGCACCATATGGAGCACCCAGCCCATGAACCTGTCTACTTGAAAGACAATGCAGCGTGTGTTGATTTAAACGGAGATTCAGGGAGTCCTGCTTAGCTCCGGGCCTGGTGCTGCCAGGAGCCGTGCTCCATTAGATGGATTCAAGAATGGAATCCCCAGCGTCCATGGCAGATACAGCGGGCCATGCAGGTGCGACAACGCTGCGTGAACTCCTTTGACCAATCCACCAATCGAATGACGGATGATTTGACTAGCTTCATTATCTTCTGGCCCTATGGGCTCAACGGCTTGTGAGGGTCGAAGAAACCACTGGTGGCCCTGGCGGACCCATCCTGGAAGTCTGCGGCCCTCGGCTTTTTTGGCCAGGCTGAACTTCTTCTTCCAGCTCCAGTGGTGGCTGAAGTGATGCCGCTGGGAGCATTCGAAGCGATGGAACTGAGGGAAGATATGGGAAGACCGTAGGCCATCACGCGGTCGGTCTTGTATTTTGTATTCACTTTTTGCCATTATCTAGTTGAGCGATGAAGGGAATTCAAGGATCCACTTCTGCATTCCATGTGCATCACCAAGAAATGAGCAAGAGTCGGCAGCAGTATACGGCACTTCCAGTGGGAGCAGGCTTACTAGTCCTGATAGATCATCAGACAGACATGCAGGTACAACATGCACCAACATGATTCAGACATATTCAAAAAGCAGCACATACAAATCAAACTGCAATTGCTCAAGCTAACATATTTGTATACACAAACGGGGCCACATATATATACATATATATGGGAGGCATAGGTATCAAAAAAAAAATAAAAAGAGCATCAAAAAAAAATAAAAACAGGATCAAAAAAAAAATAAAAAGCGAATCAAAAAATAAATATTCCTTGATAGGCCTCTTTTGCTGCTCTCCTGGCCTTGTGGTCTGCGGGTCCTCTGGTAATGTGGTCCCTTGGTCCTTTGGTCCCTTGGTCCACTGGTCCTTTGGTCCCCTGGTCCCTTGGTCCTTTAGTCCACTGGTCCCCTAGTCCTCCGGTCTCCTGGTCCTCTGGTCCTGTGGTCCGCTGGTCCCCTGGTATCCTAGTCCTTCTGTCTCCTGGTCCGCTGGTCTTTTGCTCTCCTACGGCGCTCGTCTGTCGATCTCCTGGTCCCCTGCTTGCGCAAATAGAGGCTTGATTGCTTTCTACTAGAGGCAGCTCCCTGGGAAGAAAGTAGGTACCCAACGATAAGGTCGCCGTCCAGTCATTGAGTAGCCCTACTCGAAAAATGGTTCACCAGTGGAAATAGCTCCCTACTAGGAGGGAGCTCCTGAGGTACACTCTCCTAGGGAGGGGTATTGATTTTTGGATTTTTTTGTTTCTTTTTTTGATTTTTTTTGTTTTTCGTGGCTTCTGGCTTCTGGCTTCTGTGGCTTCTGGCTTTTGTGGCTTTTGGCTTCTGTGGCTTCTGGCTTTTGTGGCTTTTGGCTTTCGTGGCTTTCGTGGCTTCTGTGGCTTTTGGCTTTTGTGGCTTTTGGCTTTTTGGCCTATCCATCTATCTGTCTATACCTATCTATTTATCTATCTATCTATCTTTCTTTCTTTTGGCAGCTGTTCTCCTTTCTCTTTTTGTATTTGCATTTTCCTGTTGTTTTCGTTGCAGAGACGAAACCAAACAAGGAAGCAAGCAAGCAAGCAAGCACGAGCTGCTCACCTTTGGATCTGGTGTGCTGCTGGGGGGGGGCGCTGCCCCCCCCCCCCCCAACCCCCCCCGCGCCACGAAATCTGCACTTCATCCCCGACACCCGCGCCTGCCACGAAATCAACATTTTAAGGTGAACTCCCCGGTGCAAAACTTTCTAACCAAGCAAATATCTATCTATCTATCTATCTACCGATCTATCTATCTATCTATCTTCTTATCTTATCTTATCTTATCTAATCTAATCTAATCTTATCTAATCTAATCTAATCTATCTATCAATTTATCTTTCTATTTTTCTATCTTTCTGCAGTTCAACAGCCACAAAGTACTGCACCTGCCACGAAATCTGCACTTCAAGGTCCACA